CTTCCTGGCCTCTATCTTTCCCTCCTTCACCCTTCACATTCCCTATAGCATCCAAACCTGTGTCTGTCACTGAGCTGATACTCTAAAAGTATTTGTCGGGTTGAGTTGAATTAATTAACCTTTAGAGATATTAGGTTTTCGTGTTTGCTTCTGATTTTAAAAAGCACTGACAATCAATTTCACTAGGAGTGTATAGTTCATTCAAGTGGCGAGATCTGATATTTGGTTTGTGGTCACGGCAGGACTGAGACGTGTGAGCCAAGCAGAGGCCAGCGCCAGGAGCTGAGTGCACAGACAGGGCCTGAGAGCAAGGGCTGTGGACTTGGCGGGACCTGGGTTCACATTTCAGGGCTGCAGCCAACTCCTTGTGTGCCTTGGCCTTTTTCATTATACTCAAAATGGGGGTTCTAATACTTGATTCATGGGGTTCTTACGAAGCTTACTGGAGATGGTCCAGGTAAAAGCCCTGCTTCTGGTGGTCAGTTAACAGCTATCATTGTTATTATGACACTGGGTTTAGTCTCCAACTCAGCGAGTTTGGGCACTTGTTTCCTGATCTCTAATATTCTGGGAAACCTTCTCTCTCACTATAGTCATGTCTTGGGGTGGGTGTGGACAGACCACAGACCTGCATCTCCAGCCAATCCATCTGTGGTTTCCCTTCAATAGGGAGGCTTCCAGAGGCAGAGATGGCAGAGATGTCTGGGGAAGGCAAAAGGTGGAGACTGGAGAAATTTCCAAGGTCAGGGACCTGACAGCCAGAGGCGAACCAGCTCAGACCAACCTGGAGGCTGCAGCTGCCCATGGGGCTGGGTGTGAAAAGTAGCCTCTTGAACATGCAGTGCCAGGCTCTGGAAGGAATCAGCTGGGAAACAGAGACTCCAGGATTACCCAGAGAGCCAAGAGCAATGGGTAGTTGTTAAGACACAGCTGGCTTTGCCCCTCTGCAGGCTCAGTCCGGTTTCTCTCTCCTTCCTTCCCTTCCAAATCTTGGTTTTTGCAGAAGCTGAGTGGTGGGGTCTGCTGGATCCTTTCATATTCTCTGGCGGCTCCAGCTCCAAGCTTCAGAGCCCTAAGTGGAAGCTTTCCTCTTGCTTCCACCCCTGCAATCCCTACCCATCCTTGCACCGCCACCCCCACCCCACCCAGTCACTCTCCAGGTCACAGAGGGGCACTTGGGTTGGATCTATATGCCATGAAGGAAGCCATCAGCGAAGGGGTTTACATCAGTCCTTAAATCCTTCCAATAGCAAAACCTCCCAGCATTTATTGCATACTTACTGTGTCAGGCACCTTGCCAGGCACCTCAATCGCTTTGTCATTAATTTCCCAACAATTATAGGAAGTACTTCTTTATTGTGATTGAGAAAACAAGTCCAGAGAAATTAAGTAACATGCTTGAAGCTTCACAGCAAAGCCAGGGTTTGAACCTATCGCCATAACTTCAGAGGGTGTCCCCCTCAGTGTGGAGAGGCAGGATGAGGAGAACAGGGGTTTGGAGACAGTGTGACAGTTTGAAACCTGGATCCACCACTTTCTGACTAAGCAAATGTGGGAATATTTATTGATCTCTCTGTACCTCAGTTTCCCCATCTGTAATGATGGGGATGATGACAGTATTACTTCCCTCACAGAACTGTCAAAGGGTTATACAGGTTAATACATGTAAGGTGCTTAGGTAAATGTCCAGCATGTAGTAAGCACTCAATACACGTTTGCTATTATGATTAAGCATGACATCAGGGTGGCCTCTGTGTCATGGTGACTTCCCTGGAAAGCTGCCTGAAATCTCTACATCGGAGAGAGCCTGGGGCTTCCCCAGATCACAGTGCACTCTCTGGGATGCCAGATGCGTTTTCTCCCACAGGCCTGGCCAGGATCCAACAAGCCTTCACGAGGGCGAGAATGAGGCTGGGGCGGAGGGAGACCCCATCCCTTCTCTGCTCCGCTTTCTGGCCTTTCCCCTCTTACACACTTAGTTTTGGCAAAATGAATGATGAGAAGGAGCTGAATACCTGGATTTGCATCCTAGCTCCACCTTTTACTAGTAGTTACACTTTTAGACAATTTTTTTTAAAACCTACTATGCCTCAGTTTCTTTGTTTGTAAACTAGAAACTGGCAAAATGGAGGGCAACGAGAGGGATAAGGGCCTGATGGGGGAAAGCCATGGCCCCAGTGTCACTGCCTTCCTAATAGATTTGCCCTAGGTTCCATAAGAGAAGAGCTCCTTAGGGCCTATGAGAGCTGAACTTCTTTGAGAGACTCCTCATCTGTGGTCTCCTTGATATCTTTAAGTTCCAAACACTCTAGACAAAGTCAAGGTTCAGTGCTGAGCATGACTAATCACCAGGGAAATGTAAATTAAACACACAATGAGATACTATTACCTCACGCCTGTTAGAATATCTATCGTCAATAAATTAACAAAGAAAAAGTGTTGGCTAGGATGTAGAGAAAAAAAAAAAACACCTGTGCACTGTTGGTGGGATTATAAATTGTTGTAGACCCTGTGGAAAACAATATGGAAGTTCCTCAAAAACTTATAAATAGAACTGCCATATGACCCAGAAACTCTACTTCTAGGTACTTAAAAAAACACTCCCCCCCAAAAAAACTTCAAAAAAACAAAACAAAACACTAACTTAAAAAGATATATGTACTCCCAACCACTGCAGCATTATTTACAATAGCCAAGACATGAAAACAGCCTGTGTCCATCAGTGAATGAATGGATAAAGAAAATGTGCTACATTCCCAACTAGATAAAGTTTTCCCAAATGCTGTTCTATGAAACACAGATATGTTATAAGACAAAGATCTGCCAAATAAATGTTATTTGGTCAATTAAGCTTAGAAAGTGCTGTACTCCATATTTCTCCCCTCTCAGGTATTACAAGGTATATTATTTGACTAAAGGCTCTGAGAAGTCTTGCAATATAGAAATCTGCCTGTTTAACTGATTGCCCTTGGAACTATTTTCTTATATAATACAGGTATCTTTTGGTACACAATTATTTGAAAACTGCTGAATTACACTGTGAGCTTTTTGAAGGCAGGAGCCATGTCTTGTAAATATTGTCATCTCCTAAGTGCCTAGCAAGTTTTGTACACATAAACATTGGTCAATAAGTCCTCTGCCTATTTTTTTTCTTATTTTTCTGAGGTTTATTTTCAAAAGAGCAAAGGCTTAATTGTAACTTAATATTATTGCCTGTAAGTCATAATGAATTTATTTCCCTCTTTACCAAGATTAAACCATGGCAATTTGTAATGATTTATTCACAAATATGATGGAATCATAGGATTGATTCTAATTTAAGCTCTGTCACTCTCTAGCTCTGTGGCTTCACCCAAGTTACTAATTTTTGGATGGCCTAAGAACCCTTGATTGCTGCCTGCCAAACTCCGTTCTTCTGCAATCTTTTATATCTCCAGAGATTGGCACCACTGTAAACTTATTTGCTGGAGACAGAAACCTAGGTACCATTTTGGATTCCATATTCCCACTCTCACCCAATCCACTAGCAATTACTATTGATTCTACGACCAAATATACATTATATCTTAAAGTTATCCAGTTCTCCCACTTCAATTGTCAATTGGATGGGGTCACCAACCATTATCTCTTACCATAACTAATAACCACCTCAACAGTTGCTTACTACTTGTTTGTCCCCTCCACCTATAATCTGTCTACCACAACATCAGCCAAAGTGATCTCAGAACAGAGATTCTTAGATTATGGCACTCTTCTACTTAAAAATTCTGCAACCTTTCCATTGTATTTAGAAAACAATTCAAACTCTTTATCATGTATGTATATCTTTGCTAACTTTTGCTGCTGCCTCTTGTTCATTCTTTCTTTGCTCTCTGCATCCCTGATATATGAGTTGTCTTTCATTTTTCCAGACAATCCAAGCTTCTGTCACCTAAAAATCCTTACATATATTAGTTACTCTGCCTGAAACAGTGGTCAATCTACTCTTAACATTCAGGGCTCTTTCTTATACTTTCAGTTTCAGCCTAAATCCTATCTCCCGACTGTCACCAGGCAAAGTAGGTATCTCTCTCTTCCCTAATTTTTCTCTATCTCTATGCCTTGTTCATTTTCTTTAAAGGAGCACTTGTCACCATTTGTTTTCTGTGTTGGTTTTGTTGTTGTTGTTTGTGTCCCCAATGAAATACAACCTCAATGAGCCAGAGACCACGTCTGTTCTTTGTATTCCCAGCACCTAGCTGAATGACTGCAAATACACAGAAGGTGCCCATTTAAAAAAAAAAAAAAAAGCTTCATTTTTCTCAATTTGATAAACATGAATATTATTTGTCTTATTTTTAGTTGAGCCTTACCACATACCTTTAAACTTGCTCTAAGGAATAAATTCATACAAAAACTATTTACTGAGTCTGTACAATGTGCAAAGCATTGTACTAATAAGTGTGATACATCTCCAAGGAGTAGGCATTCTGGTGCCGTGGAGAGAGAAGTCTGGGCTTTGGAATCAGAAAGACCTGGATAGTACCAGCTCTTCTTAACCCTCACTGTTCTGGTTAAATGTTACTTCTCCTGGCCTTCTCCTTTCAAAAACAAAAACCAAATTATTATCTTAGCTGTCCTACTTATGTGCCCCCACAACACTTGATTCTCATATCCTAGCATTTATCATTGTAGGTACTGGTCTGCTTACTTTACTTTAGTTTCCATCAGATTCTTGGAGACGATTTCCGTCATGCTCACTTTTATTATCTCTGCCCCACGCCCCCACAGTTGTCTCCATAATCCACGGGGGTTATGTTCCAAGCTGAAACTAAAAATAGTTCCAAACCCTATGTATTGTTTTTCCCACATACATATTTATGATAAAGTTTAATTTATAAATTAGGCACAGTAAGAGATTAATGGCAATAACTAGTAAAATAGAAAATTATAACCATATACTGTAACAAAAGTTATGAAAATGTGGTCTCTCTCAAAATACCGTATTGTACTATACTCACCCTTCTTGTGATGATGTGAGATGATACAGTGCCTACGTGATGAGATGAAGTGAGTGAATGATGACTCTGTGACATAGTGTTGGGCTGCTACTGACCTGACCACATGTCAGAAGGAGGATCATTGAACCACAACGTCATGTCTTCCACTCACAAATTTAATGACTTTTCCATCTTAACTAAGTATTTATCATGCATTGTGGCCATAACTTTAGCAGTTTAGGTACAACAGCAAAACTAGCGGAAATATCTTTTTCCTTGCTCTCAATTTCACAAATAGAAGATTTGTTCTTACCTTAGATCTTAGCAACCTCAGCATGTGATATATATATTTTTTCCGTATGAAGTAGAGAACGTTTATCTCTTCACTTAAAGGAAACAAAGACTTTACCGCTTCTCTTTGGCATATTCGAATGGCGGGCATCATTACTCTTGTTCTTTGGGGCCATATTTTAGTAAAATAAGAGTTACTGGAATAGTAGTGTGGTATCACCACAGTAGATCTGATAACTGAGATGGCTACCAAGTGACTAACAGGCGGGGCACGTACACAGCGTGGACACGCCGGACAAAGGGATGACTCACATCCTGGGTGGGAGGCAGTGTGACCTCGTGAGATTTCATCATGCTACTCAGAATGGTGCATGATTTAAAACTTATGAATTGTCTGTTTTTGGAATTTTCCCATTTAATATTTTTGGAGCATGTTTGACCTCAGGTAAATAAAATGGCAAAAAGCAAAGCCACACATAATGGGGACTACAATAAAATAGCATAGGCCTCATCTGTCGAGTATCAGGTGTTGTATGTTTGTATACCCTCAGAACCCCAGGGCAAGATTCCCTCCCTCATCAGAGGGGTAAGGAAAAGGTAACAAAGCACCCATACCTACTTACCTACACACACACAGACACACCAAGTAAGTAATCATGCCCTGCACAGAATAGGCTACACATTTTTCTCAATCATGAATATGCATAAAAATAGGCCTCAGAGTTTTAAACAATGTTAACTCTGGGTCCCACTCTAGGTCCACAGAATGAGAATAATAGTGGAGAAGCCCAAATGTGTATATTTTTGTAAAATGTCATTACTGATTCAGGTAAATATCCAAGACTAAGTGCCACTGCGGTGATTATGTGATAATCCTCTCTTGACTGTCTAACTTATGGGGACCTTCGTGCCCTTTCTGGTGAGATGGCTCAAAGGACAACCCTGTCATCCTGGAGGGAATGTCTGACAGAGACTCTTGCCCAGGGATGACCAACATTTAGCCACAGCTTTCAAAACCCTCCTAAAAACCTCTGCAGACACTGCTAATTGATCATGGCACTCTTTCTAGCTAAGCCTGGCCTCTGCCTCAGAATCCTCATCAGCTACTACCAGTTGATGAATGCTATTGTGAGAGACGAAGCCAATTTTTCCCCTCTGCCCAGCTGTCCCTGATTTCTGCCCTGTGATGAAGAGAACTCTGCTGCCTGTGAGTACTTTTGTAGCTCTCCCCTTTGCAATTCCCCTCTCAGTACCAGGGTATCTCAATGGAAGAATCCCTTTTCTCTCAACTCCTACAGTTGGCCTGCCCAGGGGCCAACTCTCCAGGATATTTTTTAATTGTTTCAGGCCATTGACCATACCACTTTCTTACCTTTAATTACCTTTTTTATGCGGTCTTAGTATGTCATACTATCATTATATTCCTCTGCGTAGATTTAAACCTCTGGTTTAGATCCATGTGGAAATAAGCATATGTAATAAAATTATCTGGTATAGTAGAGAGAACTCAGGATTTGGCATTAAGATGGGATTCCCTGACTCAATCTTATTGAGTCGTGAGACTATAGGCAAGTGATAACTGTACTTTAGTTTTATTTGCCAAATAAGAACAACAATATGTCTTTCCAACATTATATAATGTTACATTTGTAGCATACATAAACACATTTGAAAAGTTAAAACTTTAAGGTGTTTAATAGCAGTGTGTAGCTATTTCCTGACTCTGCCAGAAAAATATCCCTCTTTTTTCCAGAGCAGCTAACTAAATAGGGCACCTTTTCCAAAGAAGCAGCCATAGCACACATTCCATTACGCTAATGTACATTCAATTAGAATGTAAAATGGGAACCATCGACTTTGAGGTGTTAATGAGTTGCCACTTAGAAGGACCAGGGAAGCAAATTAAGTGTACATGCATAAAGCATCAGAATTGCCAACTTTCTACCCGACTGGAAACTGGGCTGTTCAGGTCCTCTCCTCTTTTTCTCATCCACCAATGTAGAAGCTCCAGCTGGTGCATTTGGTCCAGTGAGTAATCCTGGCTTTCCTGCTGTACCCCGACCAGACCCAGCTCACTCCAGACTATGGCTAAGCAAATGGAGCTGAACATGTCCTGTACTTGGTTTCATTGGCAAGAGGATGGAGGTGGGTTGGCCACAAATGAGTTGGAATACCTACTTCACTCTCACTGGAAAACATGCCTAAAAACCTTCCTTCTCTCTTTGCTGGTATACAGAAAAGAGTTTTGTTTTGGGGTGGGGGGCGGGGAAGAATGCTCCCTGCAATATTATAAATAACATTCAAAGAGTTAAAATAATGAGAATTAATCATAAAATAAGAAAAATAGAAAACTGATGATGATGTTATGTAAATAATCAACTATGTGCCAACACTGTGCCAACTGCTCCAGCTATTTAGTCATTTTAAAATTTAAATTCAAATAAAAAACCTTATATGTAGATGGTTTTCAAAGTTATTTCTAACATCGCTAGCTATTAGGGAAATGCAAATCAAAACCACAATGAGATACCATCTCACACCTATAATCAACAGGACAAGTAATAACAAATGCTGGAGAAGATGCAGAGATAAAGGAACCCTCATATACTACTGGTGGGACTGCACATTGGTACAGCCACTATGGAAAGCGGTATGGAGGTTCCTCAAAAAACTAAGAATTGACCTACCACATGATCTAGCAATCCTTCTACTGGTTATTTACCCCAAAGACTTGAAAACTCATATTCGAAAAGATATTTGCACACCAATTTTCATAGCAGCATTATTCACAGTGTCCAGGACATGGAAGCAACCGAAGTGTCCTACGATAGATGATTGGCTAAAGAAGTGGTGGTACATATATACAATAGAATATTACTCAGCCATAAGAAGAGATGAAATACTGCCATTTGCGACAACATGGATGGACCTCGAGATAATAGTGAAATAAGCCAGACAGAAAAAGTTGAAGAGCACATGATATCGCTTATATGTGGGTTATAAATTTAAAAGCAACAAATGAACGGGACAAACAAACAGAGACTCATGGACATGGACAATGGACTAGTGGTTACCACAGGGTAGGGGGAAGGGAAGAGGTAGATGGAGGAAAAAATTTAAATAATTTCTTCAGTTAAAAATAAATAAATAAATAAATAAATAAATAAATAAATAAATAAATGCAAGTTATTTCCACAGAGCTTATTAAAGATAAACATTCCAACAAATTACTCCTACAACACAGACACAACTGCTTTGAATCCTTATAATCTTTCTTTGGTTATTTATCTCCACATTTCTCAGAAACATGCTTATACCACTACCTCTCCATTTTAGGTATTATCTTAAAGTCCTGCTATGAAAGACGAAAATCCAGTTCCCTTATCTGCTTCTGGAAAATTGTTTGTGCGTGTACACGCACATACCCCACAAACCTATGCTTTCCCCATTTTCTTAAAATATTCATATCATAATATCTGGTGACATCAAAATGACCAGGTAAATTTTATTCATAGTTGGGCCATAACATATACACTTGTCTTGTACACTTTTTTTTTTGGTTTGGTATTCGCCAACTCTTCTTTGAGCTTTCCACTTTGGCTACCTTGTTTTTAGATTTACAAGTGCTCTATTTGTTTTATGAATGCCCTTTGTAAAAATAAAAACCTGTTCTAATTTTGTAGCTGCAATAGCGTCTTCTTTCTCTACAAGGATATTAATGACAGTTATTTTTCTCTTTTAAGTACTTCTTCCTACATTGTCTCTCTTTTTTACAAATCCCACGGTGAGCCCTGGGGAGTACATCTCAAAAGGAATTTGTTTTGTTCTCCATCATTCAGGTTAGAGACTTTCTTCAAGGATACTAGGATACTAGGATACTAAAAACGTCACATGGAGGCTTGGAGGGGCAGAGCAGAGCTTGGGGGTGCGTCGGTTTCATGGTAGGCAGGACAGGAATCAGCAATGTCAGTATCCACGTGTCTTCTCTCTTGCATGGGCTGATGACTCGAAGAAGGCTTTTCCAAAAGTATCCAGCATGGAGACTAAGCCTGGCTGCCAGCCTACGGAGACACTGATGGGGGAGGAGCAAGGGGTGTGTCTCAGAATTCAGTATGTAGATTTTCATCAAATTCCCATTTTTCAGTACATTATCCCTGCCTTTCATTCAAATGGTCTTTAACCTAGAGTCCTTTTAGTTCATTCTCTCCAGAGAGTCATTTTTGTCTTCTACTTCTAGGGAAGGGGCAGCTGTTGACTTTGAGAAGTAAGAGAGGGGTCTAAGGGTCTAACTGTGTTGTAAATAGATTTTCAATCAGTCTTTTGGTTTTCAGTCACCATTACCTGCCTCCCCCCGCCCCCCGCCCCGTGGCCAACACACACTCACACACTTGCATAAATCCTTGGTGTTGCTGACTCTCCAGTCTCTGCAGTTCTGTAGTACATATCAGCTTGCTTCTGGACTCTCCCATGACCAAGTTAGAGGTCAATGTTTTGAAGTCTGCTAAGTCAGCTGTCCTTTATTTTTTTGCTTCCAGCTTCCGATATTTTGCTGCTACTTTTCCTGTCCTGTTCTCTTTGTTCTTGTGGCTTTCTACCTCCAAAAAGTAATCTCTTTATTGTCTTTTTAATGAGGCAGAGGGATTAGGAGAAAGCCACAAGTGTTCAATCTACCACTGTTAACCAGAAGAGAGAAAACACCAATACAAAAAGATGGGAAGCATATATAACAGGATGTCTTGATAAGATGACATTGGCAGAAATTCAGAGCCAGAAGTAGAAGTCAGGTTTCTTATATCATCCTTTATTCCTAAATACAATCTCACTGAATGGTACTATCTTCCAAATTTATTAATAAAGAACAAGCAATAATAATAATAAACAGTATTAACTGTCTAGTATGACCAGATATATAAGTCTGTTAGGGCTTCCTTAATAAAATACCACAGACTGGGTGGCTTAAACAACAGAAATTTATTGTTTCACAGTTCTGGAGTCTAGAAGTCCAAACTCAAGGTGTTGGCAGGTTTGATTTCCCCTGAGGCCTCACCCCTTGGCTTGGAGATGTTTACCTCATGGCTTACATATTCATCCTCATACGGTCTTTCCTCTGTGTGCACACATCCCTGGTGTCCCTCCCCTTTCCTATAAGGACACAAGTCACATTAGGTTAGGGTTCTACCCATATGACCTTGTTTAACCTTAATTATGTCTTTAAACACTTCATCTCCAAATATAATCACATTCTGAGACAACTGGGGGTTAGG